TCCTGTACATACAACCCATGGCACGCCAAAACGGCGAGGGGGGAGTCGAAATTCATGAACCAGGATTAACCCCTTATTTGTCATGCGGTTCATGTACAGACATGTTTAGCTAGGTCAGTTCAAACACCTTTTCAGGTTTCTCACTGACTTCGCTTTTGGCTCAAGAAAACTGGCGCGCTGCTGGTTTTCAGCTTCGACACGCCGTCGTTCCGTCGTCGTGCCGGTGCATTTCGCTTTCGCGCAATTCGTGTTGTGTGTTCTTAGGCTGCCGTAGGTGCTCCTTCGTACGCACCCCACACCCGGTACACAACGGGGACCCGACCTTCCGGGGCTCGCCGCCGTGTACCTGGTTTCCTCAGGGTTCTCCGCACTATAGGTTACCTCTCATCCCATTTGCCCCTTAGGCAACTGTGGTGGTTGTTCCCTGTGGATATCCCTGAGCCCTTGTCACTTTCATTATAGTAGATCATAGTAGTCAAGCTCTGTCGTGACTAGGGCATTTTGAAACGTCCAAGCAATTGGAATTGATTTCAGGTCCACTCATGAAGTTCAATGTGGGGGACAAAGTGCATCTTGGATTCATTTCCTGTGCCAATCAAATTGGTTTGTTTGTCCAGGTAATGATGGGTGAATTGATCCTGATGCATCCAAGTCTGAGGGGAGCTTGTTTAGTCCAAGAGGGCCCTCCTTTCGGGGATTGCCGTAGCATGCTCGAAGCAGTACTTTCCTCCTTTGGTGGCTTGATTTGTTGCCTTCAAATTTGGACGGGTTCTTGGCGAGGTACTACCAGAGCAAGAGTTTTGGCCAAAGGATCATTGCCACAGTGGAGGGCATCACATCCGAGGGCTTCTACGACCTGGATGTTAGGCAATCTGCCGATCCTAAAAACATATCGCCATACATAGCAGCCTGGCTTCACCTGGAATGTTGGGCCACGTCAGACATGGTGGGCATTTGTTGGTTTGAGAAAAGATAAGATGAGCGGTCTAGGGAAAGAGACGTGGCCTCTCTCTTACTTACGTTTTTAAGAATATGTATACTGTCGGACTGAAACTTAGAATGCCATCGTCCGGATCGGCGCCAGGGAGGGATACCTATCAAAAAGAAAATTGATTCCTATCAAAAAAAACTTGTTTCCTATCAAGCAAACATTAATTCGTATCAAAAATAAAATTACCTCTACTCCTTTGGTCCTGGCCTGCTGGTTCCCTGATCGCTTGGTCCTTTGCTCCCTTTGTCCTGGTCCCTTGGTCCCCTGGTCCCTTGGTCCTCTGGTCGCTTGGTCCTCTGGTCCCTTGGTCCTCTGGTCCCTTGCTTCCCTGGCCCCTTGGTCCTTTGGTCCTCTGGTCCCTTGGTCCTCTGGTCCCGTGGTCCTCTGGTCCCTTGGTTCCCTTGGAAGCCTTTCAGTGCTCAGACCTCGTATCCACTGGATTTGTGCTCCAGCTATGGCATGATGGCCCGGTTGCAGTTCTGAAGGAGTCCCGGCTGCAGTTGCTTTCGTGGCTCCTGCTCTGGTGGCTCCTCTGTGCTCCGCTCCTCCACCAACAATCTGGCCAGAAGCATCCGGTAGCTGCAAGCCCTACGAGAAGCTGTGCATTGCCCGGTCCCAATTCCGGGAGCTCCAACCGCTCGACCTTTCACAGATGACGCTTTTTGGAGCTAAAGGTGAGGGTAGAGCGCATACCAGGGTGCGCTCTAAAGGGGTTGGAAACAATTGTGTCCCCGGCAAACCATGCCCCAAAGAACCTGGATTAGGGCCCCAAGAAGCGCCCCTCGGGGCACACTGTCCTCCAGTCAAGCGCAGTTTCAAAAGAGCCCTACGTCGACTGGCGCTCAATGGCTTTGTGGTCTACAGAGGCAAGCTGCACACCACACTGCCGGATCCTGCGCCGCTGACTTTCCCCCCACACCATCCAGAAGCCTGAAGCGG